GAGAACGAGGTGAGCCCTGATCCCACTCCTCCGGGTGCCTCGGGCAGGGAGGATCTGGCCCGTTGCTTCTGGCCGGCTTCCCCCGGAGAGGGCCCGGAGCATTCGTCCAGCCCCAAAGTCCACAGGGCTCGAAGGTCGGACAGGTTTTGCCCTCGACGGGGGACCCCTGTGCTTCCAGGCCTGCTCAAGAGGGTTGAGCGTTGCGGGAAGAAACTCGCATTTGTGGTGTGGATTTAACGCTGGGGGTGATTTGAGCCCCGCTGACCAGACCCAATGATCGCGCGAGGTTCCTCCCAGCCCTAATGTCCGTGAAATCTGCACAGGAGGGGAAACACCCTGTGGGCGATGGCACCACCCTCTTCTACATGATCCACTGTGGGAAGGCTTTGTATAACAATCTGCTGTGGAGCAACTGGTCGGTGGCAGCACTGTCCAAAATCATCATCATTGGGAACAGCTTCCAGGGAATTGAAGAGAGGTGGGTATGTGCCGGAGGAGAGGACATTCTCCTGCCCTCCAGGGTAGCCCCGAAGGTCATGCCTGCACCTGCTTCTCAAGTGCTGGGGGCCAGGGCCGCGGGCTCTTTTCATTCGGCGCCAAACGAAAAGGAACGTTTTTCGTAAGGAACGTTCCATTTGGCGCTGAAGGTGCGAATGAACGAGCACGACTTGCAGGGACATTAGGGCTGTGACGAGAGCAGGGCCAAGGTGAGCTCTTGTCCTCCACAAGTGGGTGTCTCCAGGGCCCGTTTTCCTCTGGTAGTGCCAATGTGTGACCAAAAACAGAACCAGAAGGGTTGAGTTACAAGATGTTTTTTAGCCACGCGAGGGTGGGTCTGTGGCTTGTGGGAACAGTGCCCGTAGCTGGGGCAGCACCACTCTGCTCATCAAAGCGGCCCCTGGGGTCTAAATAGGGATGGCGGCCCATAAGTATGGAAGGTGGGTGCAGCAGGATCTGGGAGAGCGTTTGTTTGGGGCACCCCAAAGGAAGAAGAGGACAACCTGTTTTTGGCTGGACATAAAAACTTCTTTACTGTCTGAGTCTCCAGAGTCTGGAATAGGCTCCCCGCAGAAGTGGTGCGAGCACCTACTCTGGGTACCTTTTAAGGTGCTTGTCTTGCTGGGATCATTTGACCCCAGCTGATTTCCTGCCCCTTGGGCAGAGGACTGTACCCAATGATCTTGCGAGGTCTGTTCCAGCCCTAACGTCTATGAAATCAAAACTGGCTGGTTGCTTGGAGCCTCTCAAGGGCAGCAGAGAATTAGATATTTGTTGTTACTATTATTACCCTGCTCTTGCCAGCTGGGATGCACTCCCTGTCCAGATGCTGTTGGCTTCGGGAAGCTTTTGCACAAGCCGCGCTGACTGGGAGTCCGCCCTGGGTTCTGAATCTCTCAAGGTTTAGTTTCTAAAGCAGTCCCCCTAGCCTCCACCATGTTGCAGGTTTGCCATGCAACTTGGTGCTTTTCCTCTATGTGCACTGCTGCGAGCTGTGCTCGGAGCCGCCTTGCAAGAATTCCCTTTGAGTGGGTTAGAAACAACTGTTGGAGTTAAGTGCTTGAAAGTTATGCCACCCACTGGCCAGCTGCATTTTGTCAGCGCTGAATTAAGCAGCGAGGCTGACACCATTCATCTAAATCTAAGCCCAATGCCAAGGACTTAAAACTGTCATCTTGTGCTTTCCTTGGAACACTTTTGAGGCTGGCACGAATTCAGCCTTATACACATTGCCTTACTTCCTCCTGTTGTTCACATATTTGGCTACATGCTTTTTACTGCTCTATTTGGGGAAAATGCCAGGTTAAACCCACAGTACTTCAAGTGATTTTTAGTCCTAAAGTTGGTGTCGTTTTCTCTTTAGGTTACTGTCAAGAGTATTAGAGAGAGATTATTCCTACATAGCAAAGGTATGACATCCTATTTCATAAGCACATCTAGTCTAGTGCATTCATGGGGAACCTCAAAGTTCCTAGGTACCGATGGGGAAACAAAATCAGGTGGACCAGTAGTTTCATGGCAGACAGCAATGCCTCTGACTGGAGTCAGCTGATGTATTTGCTGAACAAAACTCTCCAGACGGCATCATTCTGGCTTGATGCTCCTTTTCTTTAAATAAAATAAAATAAATTCTTGTTTCCATCATGTTTTGCCCTAAGGTGGAAACACATTTCTCTTGTAGCTCATGCCACTCTGCTTACTATTTACAGGTTTTAAAAGGAACAGAAGAAATTCCACTTTGCACTCACCCTCAGTATGCAGATGTATTCAATGACACTTCTGTTCACTGGTTCCCTTTACCCAAACTCAAGATGCTCCCGAGCGACACTTGGCTGTTCCAGGAAGAGCCAACATACCAGGAGTGCGAGGACCTCGAGATCATCCAGAAGCAGGACAAAGGGAGCATTTTAAGGTCAAACCAGAATGAAGTGGAGTCTTAACAGCTCCGTGGCTTGGTGCCCTGTTTTACAGGGCTACATTCATCTTCGCTTATATTAACTTATGTTACCTTGATACCTGACACTGTGGCTCTCAGCTGTTGGCTGGCTTGACATGGTCAGCTAGAAACCCTGAAGGCAGCAGTGCCTGCAAACAGGGGTAAATGGGACACACTTTTCTTTAATAGTGTGAAAATGACACCTTGGCTGATGCTATATGTAATGACAGTAAACTCAGTTTTGTACTAAACGCCATTGTCTTCCGATTTTGAAAGTAGTGGTATGTGCAGAATCAGCCACTTCCTGTGCTGTAGCACCCGCTCTCCCTAATCGCCCTGGAACAATGAAGAGCTTATGCTGGTCTTTTGGGTAGTTATTCCCAAATAAGCACGGACAGATTTTGACCCTTTACGGGGGAAGAGGGGATATTATGATTTGAGTGATTTTCATCCGCCATTCAAACCAGGGGCTCTGGAGGCTTTATGCTTTAGGGGACTGACTGCCTCTTCAACTCTGGAACATTTGGGGGAAGGAAGGATCAGGCCTTCTGCACCTTGCGCTTACAGAATATTGAGTTGTTCCTAAAGGATGTCCCAAGCAGCAGCTGGAAGGACACCCCAGCCCTCCAGTTCAGTGCTCGGAGTGTTAGGGGACAACACTCAGCCCCCCCAAACTATGTGTGCTGACTGGAAGCCTGCAGGAAACACTGCTGCAGAGGCAGCACAAAAGCCCTTGCACTGTTCTGTTAGCCTGACCTCTGCTTATCCGCATGCAGACACGCTGCCTCTTGTTCTACTCCGACTTACAAATACACAAAAAGCAGCAGCTAGCATCTCTGCCAGCTGCTACATCAGGCTGCACTGCTAAGAGACAATCCTGAAAATCCATCAGGTCTACAAAGCTGTCACCTCTTTATTGTAACAAAACAGCACTAACGTGGGTGGGGGGATTTTACGGTCCTTATATACAACATGCTCAGCTCTGAGCTGGCTGCTTATTTAGCCATATCGATGAGGCTCTGCAGAGAAGTCGGGACCCAAGTCTTTTCTCCCTGTACAAACACAACACCCCGGTCGATGTAAATCACGATCCGCCCAAATGTGTACAGCTGCTTCCCCTCGTGTCGCTTCCCAATCACAGGCATGAAGACAATGTTGTGCTCCTCTGCTTTGGTCTGGATCAGGTCCTTAAAGTTCATGGGCACGGAGCTAGCGGCCATGCCAATGCCCCGCTGGGCCATGTTCTCCGCCTCTCGCCGCTCTTGCATGGCTTCGTACTGGAAGTCCTTCCTCCGCTCCGTGTGAGTGAGGTAGGCGATGTTCTCCCGGGCGCCTGGTTGCATGTAGCCACCTAGGGGGACAAAGAAAGGTGGAGTCAGGGTCCCAAGTCACTTGCAACCATACATCAGTGGAGAAGCCGAACTCTGGGATATAGAATGTGACTACAAAGAGAAGGGCCCCACCCTGCTGTATGTATTTTAGCTCCCTAGCTGCTAACAGAAATGGGAGGGTATGCAGGCAACACATTCCCTGAATCCATTCCAGCATGCTCAGGTGAAGTGTGCAGATTCAGGGCAGAAAAGAGGCACTCCAACAGAGTCCAAACAATGCTGAGCGCACAGTGCCATGGCCTCAGCAGCCCTCCACCGACCAGTTTCCCTCACTTTCAAGACTTCTAATAGCAGTTGCCAAGTTAAAAGCCTTGAATGGGAGGGAAGCTGGTCAGTTTGGGGTCTGTCAACATGTGCACAGTGGTGTCAGCAGCAGCAATGAACACTGCTGGTAGGAGCAATCCTTGAACTGAGCAGCTCTGGCCCTGTTCACGGTCCTGAAAGCAGTTAGCTATGGAGCAGACAGATGCAGCTACAGTTACCGCACAAGCAGACAGGGTGCCACATGTGGAAACAGTTTATGCCCTTAGCTGATGAGCAGCTAAGTGGAGCGTCACTGTATGAACAAATGAAGCAAGCAGGGATTTGCACTGTGCCAGGCAGCTCAGTGAGCTGTGTGCTTTCTCAGGACACATGTAGGCAGAGGGTGCTATCAAACTATGGCAAGATGACAGGGTTCAGCTCAGGAAGACCCTGACTGCATGTACCCAGGAACTTACAGGCATGGCTGTGGCACTGGGGCAATGAGGGAGATCATGGGCAAGCGGTGCTCTGCTGCTGCAAGACCGGGCCAAGCCACTCACCCCTTTCCTGCAGTTAATTAGTGCAGTACAAGCAGGCCCTACTGAGAAGCTAGGCAGGCCAGCGGATCTCAGCAGCAGGGAGGAGCTGTTCTCAGCAGCTTTGTTTTGCTGAGTGGCTGTCCACAGTAGCCTACTAGGCTTTCTTGCAGGTGAGCTCCCTGCATTGTGTACTGCGCACCTGTGGCCTGTTTCACAATGTCCAGAACCGACCCTGTGCAGCCCCGCTGTCTGCCGCTGAGTTGCCACAAGGTTATCCAGCAAACATGGAAAGGAGCAGGATAGGAGGTTCTCCCTAACTTCTAGAGGGCGACACAGGGGCTGGGGCATGGACTGGGAAGCCGAGGGCTTGTTTACTCCCTTGAGTCTGTCCTGCCATCCAGCTGCCTGCTATTCACGACAAAGAGCCCAGCTTCTTGGCAGGGTACCAGGTCGTTAAGCCACAGTCTCTCCATTATTGACGCACGCCAGATCCCAGATATATTTAGAGGCTTAACGACTTAATACTATCTACCATGGCCCTTTATATATGGAAGCAGCAAAATTTCCAGAAGCCAATTAATAATTCAGACAAGTGCAGGGACCAGAAGAGATAACCCTGCAGAGCTGGCCATCTATGACACAGCAGGCAAAAGCAATTTGTATGAGTGCTGATGGCAGGAGCTACCGAGAGGCCAGTTAGCAGGGGTTCTATCTGAACAGACTCAGGCAGCAGCAAGGTACTGCTGCATTGTGAAAGACTAAGTAGAATAGAAGAGGGAAAGCCTTACCGACACTGGAGGAGACTGCCCGGTTCATTATATCAAGTGCTTCATTAAACTTCTCCTTGATTGATGGATGGGCCAAGACCTGGTCTGAGAACATGGATTTCCAGCCAAGGTACCACTTGGTGATCTCTTCGTAATTGGGGCTGTTGCTAAGCCAGGAGCACAGCACCTGCAACACAATCCAAAAGACCAATCAACAGGATAGGACAAGTCTCTCCAGGTCAATTAGTTTGGCTCTGAACAAGCTTAGTGAAAGAGCAGGGCCTGTGGCGGCACCTGCTGACAGCTGCGAGAGCCTTGTTAGCAGCAAACGCTGCAATTGGGGAACATGGAGTAGTGACCAAGAAGCACACGCAGTGAGCACGCCGCCATTCCTCCTCGCAGGCTGTGCTCTGGGCCAGGATAGTGACCCTGCGTTAACAACAGACAGCTCTCTTAGGGGGCAAGATTGAGCCCCTTCCCAGCCAGCTGGCCTGAGCCACATACCTGCAGCCACTTGGGGAAGAAGTGCTTCTCCAGTAGCCCAACTAGGCTGGACACAGAGATCATGCCTGCCCAGTCGACCACCCAGTAAAAGGCATCCATGTGCTGCTGGTGAGGATTAATGACGAGCTCGTGGAGGCACATCCCTAGAGAAAGAAAAGGGGCAGTGAACAAGAGTGGCTGTGCTGGGAGACCAGCTTCTTTAGCTGACAAGGAGCAGCTCAGCCCATTCAGCTGCAAGAGCAGTAGCATCCCATACCCTGCCCAGCAAAGCATTCCCCTCTCTACTCCGATTACCCAGAGACCTTTCCTGCCTCTGAAAGGCCTATCTGCTTCACCTCTAGCATTTACAGTTTTTCAAGGACTCAGGCAACAAGCAATAGAAACACATGCATGCATCTAACTCTACTTACTGAACAGGTGGAATAGAATCTGGCCCTTGATGTTAGAAG